AATCATATGGCAGATTCTTGATGTAGGCGCGCAGTTCAGACATGATGGGAGGGAGGCAAAGGAAGAGAAAACAAATGGTAGGAAGTGATGTCCATACAATGGTGTTCTGTCCATGGGCCTTGCTGCAAGACACTTGTATGTTCCACCTCTACCATGATCGGTTTCTACATAGTAGTATTAAATGTTTGCTCTGTGAAACGTAACTATATGGTGAAATGTTCTTGAACTTATAAGCAGCACTGCTGTGTCCATACAAGTGGTTGAGCTTTCTTGACAAGCAGCTGCAGCACATGTAATGCCTTGACACATTCAAGAGAAACCCTCAGGCTGACAAAAGTTGGTGCCATTCCTTTCACAAAGCAAGTTTGTGTTTGCGCTTAAGTGCTGAACTATTATATAACTTAGCCAAAACTTCTGAAAAAGTCTAGCTTTTCCCTCAAACCCTCCATGTGAGAAGATGCATGTCATCTTCTGTCATGTCCTGTTGCCCAGCCTTGGCTGACCAGCAAATAGCTTCAAATAACTCTCATAGAACAAGAACAAAATATTTGTAACTCTCACGCATAGCTTCCAAATAACTTTCACAAATAGTTTCCAAATAGCTCTCACAGAAGCAGCTTCCAAATGGGAATGCTTCTTGTTGTCCCACCTGTTTGGAGCCTACAATTGTGCAAATAATTTTCAATAGGTTCCAAATGACTCTCAAATAGCTTTCAAAAAAGCCACCACATCTGTCCACCAGGCCACTACAACTTTTGCAAAAAAGCAGCAGGCCAACTTTTCCTTGGAAGGGCGCTCAGTGGCTGAAAATCAATCCTCAGACAAAATTCCCAGGTCAATTTGCCTGGCAACTTCCTGCAGCAGACCTGCCCAGTGCTTTGGCAGTTTCTGGACTATGGCCCATCCTTTCAGCAGCTTTCCTGGCCCTGTGGTTTGCACTGGAAGTGGCTCTGTGCCTGAAGCTACACTTCCTCACACAAGGCAAGGGCACACAACCATTGAAATCCATCATTGGGCCCAATAACTTGCAACTTAGTTTCTTCTTTGGTGAGGCCATGCTTGGCTTCTTGGAAGGTGTTGCAATGCTTGGCTTCTTGCAAAGTTTTGCACTGCTAGGCTTCTTCCTCACAAAATTTCAATAGGGCAACACTTGCCAAAAGCACTGTGCTGCAACCACAACAGCACAACAACAAACATTCAAACGTGCCTCAGCTTTTTCTTTGGTGAAGGCCCAGTGCTTTCAGGTGAAAGGCTCCTGTTTTAACATAACATGGCTCAAGCATGCATTTAGAAGGCAAAGTCCAACAGTGAACATCAATCCTGTTCTGCGTCTTTCTCTTTGGAGCACAAGAAGCTTCTTCCTTCAAAGCCTCCCTCAGAAGATCCATGTCATCTGAAGTCAGGTCCTGAAGCTTAGCCTTTGCTGTCCTTGCCATGCTTTGTTGTGTTGGGTTATATGGAACCAAGGCCAGCGAGGTTTCTTTTGGTGGGTCTGGGTTGCTTGGGCTCTTGGTCAGGATCCTCCTGAAAATGGTCTTGGGTGGGCTTAGACAAGGACCAGGGCCAATCTTCTTGGCAGGCCCCTTGGACACCTGAACCTCTCCCTCAAGTTCTGCCGCAAAACCATTTCATCAAGCAAACCATCAAGCGCCTGCTTTTCCTTGAGAGAAGCCCTTTTCATTGCCCTTTGGTAAACATCCCCTTTGGCTTTCAAGTCCCTCATTTGGGATGCAGCAGCCCGGATGTACAATGAGCATTTGTCAATGAACTGATCGTCCCTGAGCCTGGAAAAGTTGATTCTGTAATGGTCTGCCTGGATTTTTTCCAATGCCTCTTGCATTTAATTTTGTGGGAAGATGCACTTCTTATCTACAGCAACCAGCTTTCTCAGCAAAGGAACCAAATTGGCCAGCCAATCTGGCAGGGGCCTTGTCTTCGAAGTAGCTTCTCCAGTGGCAGGCTCAAGCAAAGTCAACATGTCATGGGTCCCTTTCTCCTGAAGCCAGTCCATGATAGGCTTGATTGAGGTCTTTGAGGCCCAGGGCTGGATCAGGCTTCAGCCTACAATTCAAATTGCCTTTGGGGGTCATGGCTCAAAAGGAATGAAACCTGGTAGGAAAACTTGGTGGGAAAACAGCTCAAAAGAAATGAAATGCAAATAGTTGTCAAAAGGTTCCACAATGAAAAGCACATAGTCCATGTGCCAAAGACTGTACAAGGAAACAGGCAACGGCTCAAAAGGAATGAAATACACATAGTTTTCAAAAGGTTCCACAATGAAAAGCACATAGTCCATGTGCCAAAGACTGTACAAGGAAACAGGAAACAGCTCAAAAGGAATGAAATGCACATAGTCTTCAAAAGGCACCACAATGAAATGCACATAAGTCAAGAAGGTTCACATGTACATCTTCCCAAGAGTGTGTAAGCAAAACACATCAAAATCAATGAAATACACATATAGTTCTCAAAGGATTTCATGGTGAGATGTGCATATGCCCCCAGGAATCAAATGCACTTCTTCCAAAGACTGTGTGCCAACATGTGACAGGCTGCAAAGAAAAACACAATCTTCATTTCCCCATGCAAAGAAGATTGCATTTGTTCACTTCCTGTGTGCCACAACATCTCCCAAAGAATGTGTGCCAACATGTGGCAACAAAGATACATCTGGGCCACAGTTTTCATGTTCTGATCAAAGTATTCAAAAACATTTACAAATACATTTAGCACAACATGGGCCACATATGTTCTACAAATACTTTCACAAATCCACCTCAAGGTGCCAATGTGAAAAACAAGTGTCTTGACAGTCCACGTGGTAAACCATTCTGATGTTATTTTCTAGAACAACAGCAGAATAAGAATAACCTCAGAGGTTATTCTTAAGTATAACCTCAGTGAGGTTAGAATTAACCTCACGAAACAAAAAAACTCACAGGTTGTTTTAACCTCAGCTGATCTATAGGGTAAACTTTACCTTGGAACTGCCCACGGAAGGAATGCTACGTTGCAATGGCTTTTCCTCCTCTAAACTGTATCTTCGTGTGGCCCAAAAAAGGCATGCCACGTTGCAATAGGCTTCTTCCTATTCTAAATTTTACCCTCGCATGGCCCACAAAAGGGATGCTACGTTGTGGTCAGTTGGCTGGTTGCTGCTGGCGCCGCTGGCAGGTGGCTGTTGGTTGGTTGGTTGGTTAGCAGGTTTTTTGCCGCGGGGAGTTCACACTAAAATGTTGATTTCGTGGCAGGCGCGGGTTTCGTGGCGCGGGGGGAGTGGGGGGGGGCGCAGAGCGCCCCCCCCGCGCACCAGATCCTAATAAAACTAAGTGTTGGCTGCAAAGATGAGACTGTTTGCGCAGCGCGGATACTTTCAACAGGTTGATTGCTTTGTTGCTAGCTTGGTTGGTTCCTGTTCTTCTTCTTTGTTGTGGGTCGTGGCGATTGCGGTTGTGGTTGTTGTCGTTGCTGTTGGTTCTCGTTGCTGTTGTTGTGGGTCGATCCGAACTCGAACACGAACTGGTCCACCCCCCCTTGTATAAGTCCCTTAGTCGCCGATCCGAACTCGAACTCAAACTCGAACCGGTCCACCCCCCCCGGGGCTATAATTATTGTTGTCGATCCGAACTCGAACTCGAACTCGAACCGGTCCACCCCCCCCCGGCTCTATATAGTTGTTGTCGATCCGAACTCGAACTCGAACTCGTCCACCCCTCTGGCTCTAATTGTTGTCGATCCGAACTCGAACTCGAAATGGTCCACCCCCCCGGCTCTAATTGTTGTCGATCCGAACTCGAACTCGAACTGGTCCACCCCCATGGCTCTATAATTGTTGTCGATCCGAACTCGAACTCGAACTCTGGTCCATCCCCCTCTCGCTCGATCCACGCAATCTCGCGCATCGAACTCGAACCCGAACTCGAACTCGAACTTGAACTCAAACTCGAAGGGGATCAGTTAGAACCACCTGGGGCACGGCCTGTCGCATTTGCTTCGCATTTGCTTTTTGCTTCGCATTTGCTTCGCATTTGCTATTTGCTTCGCAATTTGCTTTTTGCTTCGCATTTGCTTCGCATTTGCTTTTTGCTTCGC